TATAAATGTCAAACTGTTCAGACAGTCCTGATTTTCAAAGCATTGTACTCTTTAGTTAGTAAAATAGATAATTATCATTCTGAGTACTAGGCTGAAATTCTAAGTCTCAAACTCTCAATTATTTGAATGCTCTGATTTAGCAACCAAAAGAAGAGATAACAATAGCGCCAGTAGGAAGCTCAAGCTACTTCACATGGTTTAACTTAAATCCTGCATCAAAATGCATTGTTAATCTGTATTCCCTGACTATGCCAGGTAAATCCTGCTTTGAGGTAGTTTCCAGTGACACATCCCTGTTATTTAATAAAAGCTTAGAAGAGCATCTTCATTGAAAACCATACAGTAAAAGAAATGCTTGAGTTGAGTGATGAGTGCTGGGAAATTACTATTAATGAAGAAACAGCTGGACATATCAGGAAGAGGTTTTCGATGCACCAAAAATGTGTCCATTCACGTAAGTGTCCTGGAACCTTCGTGGAAAAAAATTCCATCAGAAAAGAAAGTTGCAATACTTAGGGCGTGGTCCATCATTATTTGGGAAAATGGCTGATTATTTTTCAATGTCCTTACAAAGCAATATCCCTATGTTTATTTTACATTTGAATTTACTAGACTCTCGGAGAAGTGAAGGCTAGGGCACAGAGTTGGTAATTAGTGAATCTGAGGCTTGGCTTTCTCTAAAAGCCACACCATCCATAATACCAGATGGGTTCCTCTGGAATTGGAACTGGGAAACACTACACTAAAATTTATTCTCAGTGCCCTTCTTTCCTTTTTTGTTCTCTGTCCACATTTTCCTGTTCTAATTGATTATCTTTACTGTCTGTATGCACTTCAAAGTTCTCTCGTCTTATGTGAAGGGGCATGGTACAAGTAAATCATCCTATATATTATTCTTATACACCTGTGCATGCATTTGCTGAATGATTCATGGTTTCAGTTGAAAAACCCTTGATTGCCATGAGCCATTCAGAGAACTACAGAAGTTTCACATCCTGTTTTGTCAACATGAAGCATGAAGCAATGAAGTGGCATGGAAAGAGTTCCCTTGCGTGGGCAGAAGGACTCACTGCTTGCTTACACTGTGGCCACTTGCCAATCAACCTATTTCATTGCACTCCAGGTTTCACATCAGTAAAATGGAGAAATTAGTTCTTGATCTGGTACTTCTTCTGGCTGATAAATGATTATCATTCTGTGAATATGTTTCAGGCTGTAGGCTATCACACAAATTTAAGACATTCTAATCAGTATTAATTTCTCTCTATTATTCCCTTTATTTGTCTTTCATTCAAAGTGCTCAAGTGGCTAGAAAGAGCCCATCTTAGTCCTAATTTTAGAATTTTAGTTTTCCTTCTACTTCTGCACATATTATGCCTTCCTTTCCATTTTTACCACGTCTGCATTTTGCAGACTTTCCGTCTGGGAAAGGGGGATGATGGGAAGAAGAGCAATGGCAGCCTTGCTATAGGAAACAATCTAGTTGTACTTTCATCTTCCTCCATGAACCTTGTATATTTACCTCAACAAAGACACATTCTTACTCAAATTCAAACAGAATTTTCACTCAAATTTGAACAAAAGCCTATGCACATATGGCAGGGTCATGCACAAAATCACACACTTTCAAGACTACTCAGAAACTAACAGTCATGGGCAGACAATCGTGTTTAAACGCAAGAGTAAAGAATCTATCTCAAGCAGCCATATTTATCCACATCAAAAGCAACATTTCCCATGGAATATAATCACACTCTTTCCTGTGGAAATTTGATCACACAGACACATGAATTCTTACATACACACAAGCACTCACAGGAACACACAGAGGCATGTATGCAAATGCATACCTGTAGTTTCACTATATGTCAGACAAACATAGATATATTCAGCCACTCTAAATACACTCAAGCCAAACATACTCTGAAATGGCACAAACACTCCTGAGTGTAATCATATTTTCAGTTTTCCCAACTAGATTTTCATCTCTTTCCTTTTTCCACTTCAATGATGGAAAATGGATTTACAAAATCTCCACATATTTAATGCATACAATTTGATGAGTTTGAACATATACATATATCTAGAAACGATCCCCACAAGCAAGGTAGTAAAATATACTCATCACCTACAAAAGTTTCCTGTGTCTTTTTTTAAAAAAGCATTTGTGTATGGGTGGGTGGTAAGAACATTCAATGTGAGACCTACAGTTTTAACAAATTTTCAAGTGTGTAACACGTTACTGTTCATTAAAGGCACTATGCTCCACAGGAGATCTTTGGGACTAACTCACACTGCATAACTGTAACTTTATGACAATTGAAAAACCACTCTCCACTTCTTGATTTCTCTCTTTTGCCTTTTCTCTGATCTCTGAGAACTACTACTTTAGTCTCTGCTTCTGAGTTTGACTATTTTAGACCCTCTAGTGAAGTCAAGCAACATTTTTCCTTCTGTGACTGGTTTATTTCATTTAGTATAAAGGCCTCTAGGTTTATTTATATTGCTATAAATGGCAAGGCTTCTTTTAAAAGGTTGAATAATGACAACATAATAATAATGAAATCACTGTACTGATGATGTCTAATAGTTTATTGAAAGGAAAAGTTAATGCTTTATTTTTTGACCAATTTTGCATCTGGTAATCTGAACAACTATAACAACTATTTGAAGACAATAATATGCAACGTAATAACCATTGTTGAATTCCTATCATCTTATTTGGTGAAACTCTATTGTTTATAGTTTTTTTGTTTTTATTTTTTATTCTCTTCAATAGTTTGATTAATCTTGCATTCTTACTCTGGTAATCTGACCAACTTCAATGAAGATAAAAATATGTAATATAACAACCACTATTAATCCTTATCATTTTGTTCTGAAACGCTGTATCATTCTTACTGTTTTTCCTTTGGTTTCTTTTTGTCTTTGTTGTTGGCATTTTGCTATTGCTCTTTCTTTTCAATTCTCTTTAAAATAAAAAATAAATATAATAGGCATAATAATAATAATGATAAATGTAATAGGCATAACTAATAATAATAATAAATCACATTTTATTTAATCATTTGTTTATCAGTGGATATTCAGGTTGTTTCTATAATTTGACTATTGTGAATAATACTGCAGTCATCATGGGAATGCAGATATCTTTTTGAGATCGTGATTTCAATTCTTTTGTGGGTATACCCAGAAATGAGATTGCTGGATCACATGGTAGTTCTGCTTTTTATTTTTCTGAGGAATTCCCATACTGTTTCCCAGAATGGCAGCACCATTTTATACTCCCAACTATACTGCAGAAAGACTCCAACTTCTTCCTTATACTGGACAACACAACCATTTGAAATATATTTTATACATAAAACACATATTCAATATATGTTTTATATATAAATATGTGAAATTTATATATGTTTAATACATATTAATTAGATAATTGTCATTCTAACTGGTATAATGTGATACCTGTTGTAGTTTGAATTTGCATTTCTCTAATGATGTCCTCATTGCTCTTTTTTTTGGTGTGGTGCTATTTTTAGAGAAGTGAACTGAATGGGGTTTTCTGGAAACTCCCCTTACCATGAGCCCATTAATGCCAGGCACTCTGTTTTCTCGAAGGTTACATCAACTCTTTCCTAAATGTGGTCCTCAAGTGACACCCAACAGGAAGCAGCAGTGTGCAGTCCCCATCTTGAATCATTTCACAATGATGGGGAGGGTTCAAGCAAATGATCAGAGCCCTCTACACCTCCCTGAGAGGATCGAAGTTTCCATCTAACAACACTCGTTCTGGGAGGAAACTTGTACTACAGCTCACTTCATGGGATCACTCTGGAGCTACCAACCCAAATATTTTTGGACTCATCAACAAGAGGTGGCCCACGGAGGTATCCCTCTTTCTTTCCCACCCTAGGGCAAATTGTTCTGCATTAGAACCGGAAGTCAGACTTTTTTCCTCCTATTAAAAAATGCCCCTTTCAACCAAATTATTTTAATGCTGCCTTTATGATAGTCATAACTTAGTAGCTAGTAACTTAAGAATGACATTAAGTGACAAAATGATGGAGTGTATTTTACATACTTGCTTGAAAAACTGTCATTAAATATGAATATATCCAGCATATCTCTGAAAGCCTTATTTATGATGTGAGTTTATGGACAGGATATGAGAAATGAGAAGTTGACATAAAAATAAAAATATTAGGAATTATTATTTAATGAAGAGATCATACTAAGAAAAGATCATGATATTTGTGAGCACGTATTCATCAAGTTTCCTTAGGAAACTAGTAACAGTAGTGAGGAAATGGTATGAAATGGAATGGGAATCCTGAAATAGGTGCCATCTGAATCATCCAGAATTTCAATTACATTCAACATAAAAGGAAAAAGTGAATAAACATTCAGTTCAGTTGAAACTCCCATACTCTTCTAAGGTAGGAAAAACAACACATGGCATGGTTCCTGTTATGGTTTGTGTCTGCATGTGTCCCCTCAAAGCCACAGGCAGTCATGGGGTGGGGTTCTAGAATTGTGATTGATTCATGGTCCAATGCTGGAATTATGAATGTGAGTGCTACACTTGCCCTCGGACAGGTAGTTTGCATAGAATGTAAGGGAGGGAAAGAGGCTTGCTCTTCTAGCTGCTGCGCCTCTGTTTTGCTCTTATTGCCTTTGCTCTCGTCAGCCACCATGAATGGTTGCCCTCTGCCATGTGCCACTCTACCTTGGATCCAGCTGATTAGGGACTGAAACATCCACAAACTGTAAGCTAAATAAACCTTTCCTTCCTTGTTTTTGGGCATCAGGTATTTTGTCTCAGCAACGAGAGGAAAGTAACCATGACAGTTCCCATTCAAATGGCTCCAGAAAACAGCAACACTCTTTTCTACACTTCCTAGAACTGAACCTCTTACTTCTCCTTCAATTTGATGGAGTAAGAGTTGAATTGACCGTCTCAGTCATGACTGAGCTGGCTGAAACACATTTGAAAGGTCTGGAATTTCAGTACAGTATTTATTTCACCCCACACTGCCAGCTTCATAAGACTAGCAGTCATGTGTATCTTGTGTACCCCTGAATCACTGGCCCAGAGATCATCTCTGCCATGCTGTAGTTCTGTTAATGGAACTAATATTGGCTCTAGCTGGGCAAGAAATGTCTCTGGAGACTTTTCCCCCTCAAGTCAAAGCTGTTGTTTCTTGCTGGTTGTTTTCTGCATCTGCTGTTCCTTCTGGACTCCGTGGTTTTCCATCCATCAGGGCTTTTCTGAGTCGTCTCCAGAAGATGTGCTGCCCCAGGATGTTGTCTTCCCACTCCAAGTAAGTGTTCCTGCTGAGGAGGCGGTACAGCTCGACCTGCTGCCGGAGCAGGGACTTCTCCAACTTCTGCAGGACAATGAAGATGATGCCAGCATGGCTGCTGAGAAACTGCCAGGTCTGAGCAATCTCATATTCAAAGACACACCATCGGCTCTGGATAAAGTGCCGAGACACCACCACAATAACCTTCCGGCTTTTGTGGAAACCCTCCTGGATGATGTTGGCAGCAATGGCCACACCAGGAATAAAGTCTCTGTAGTGAAGACAGAGCCGAAAGGGGGGCACCCCTTCTTCCAAGTTCTTTACCAACTCATTCCTCACCCAGTCCTCATCTTGGCTTGAGTAGATGACAAAGGCATCATAGGTGTTTTCACCTCGGCCATACTTTTTGCAGCCAGCAAGAAGCATGAGGTGAAAATAGAACTTGTACACCAGAAATGCTATAACAGATACCACAAGAACACTGACCACTGTCACAATGATGACGATTTTGTTTATCTGACAGGTAGCATTCCTGAAACTCAGCACCAGCATACCCCGCATGTCAGGAGGCATAGCACATTCCAATTGTTTGGCTTCCACCAAGAGCTGCCTCTGGTCCTTAATCCACTGCAGGAAACTCTGGTATTTACAAGAACAATCAAAAGGGTTCTGAGTAAGATTCAAGGTAGTTAGATGGCTTGGGAAATACTGCAGTTCTTGCCCTTCAGAAGACTCTATTTTATTGAAACTGCAATCTAGAATCTGGAGTGCTTGCAGAGGGTTAAAAGAAAGTACATCCAATAAAACAAAGTTGTTGTGACTCATATTCAGGAACTGAAGCCTGAGGAGTGTGTCAAATACTCCTGGGGACACATGTTCCAGTTGACACTTTGAAAGGTCCAAGAAGGTCAAGTTAGTCAGGTCTGTGAAGACAGCTGAAAGGGAGTTGTCCTTGAAAGAATTGCCAGCCATTTTTAAGACCTGGAGACTGACCAAACCACTAAAGATGCCATGGAAGGCAACCTGGGTGTGGGTGTAGGACATGTCAAGATAAAGGAGTTTGCTGAGTGATAAGAATGCTGAAAATTGACTTGCCTGTTTCAAAGTAGAATGCTGAAAATCCAGATGTTCTAGCAGTTCTAAACCTATGAAGTTTACACTCATGGTTATAACATCATTGAAGCTTAGATCTAAATACTTCAGACTGGTTGTTCCAAAAACACTCTGAGAACAACAACTCTTGAAACTCATGCCATTTCTACTGAGATCTAGGAACTCAAGGTTTTTCAGTTCAAACTCTGCAAAACTAGTCGCACCTCTGTTGGTAGTGAAAATATACCTTTTGAGAGATGGGAGAGCCAAGGTGGGAAATTGGTTAACTTTACTCTTTACCAACTTTAAAGATTGCCACTTTATGTCTCTAGGAAGGCCTTCTAGGCTATTTAAATACAAATTTGCCAGAGACACTGCAGAAACATTTACCAAACATTTAAAGAAACCATTAGTATCTTCTGGAAAGTCATCTAAAAATGCCAACCTGAATTCTGCAATGGTCAAGTTGCACAGTCCTTCCAGAGCAGACTTGTCAAACTCTTCCACACACCTTTCATTTTTAAATTCTCCTAGAACCAGCTGCTGGACTTCTAAACCAGCCAGACCTTGAATACATTGTTTCATTACATGTGTGCTATTAAAATTACTTCTCAAAGTCAATCCTCCAAGCTTCACTTTGTTAAAAGCACCAGGTTGAATAAAAGCAATTGGGTTTAAAGACAGGTCTAAAGAGAGATTGGATTTGTCATGTAGAACATATAGGTCGTCACAATGTATATTTTGAATCTTGTTATTGGAAAGGTCCAAGTACTCCAAGTTGGTCAGGTTAGAAAAATATTCAGGTAACTTGAAGGAATGGATGAAATTGTGAGCCACATTAAGCTCCTTCAAGGTTCTGAGATGTCCAATTGGGAAGTCCTCTAGAGAAGAAAGATTTATCTCCACAGCCACCAGCTTCTGTAAACGGAATAGTTCAGAAAAAGCCCCTGGTGCTAAATTCTGGATTGGGTTTCCCGTCAATATCAAGGTAGAGAGGTAGTTCAAGCCCCAGTATGCATCATCTTCAATTGTTTGAATTTCACACCTATAGGGACAAAAAATACAGAGCATATAATATTTCTGCTGAATAAAAATTCAAAATAGAAAGGCAATCATAGTCACCCAGTTTTTGATACAGATGTGGTATCCTATATAATTGTACATGACAAAGACAAGCAAGACAGATAATGGTTATGTGAACAAACATGAAGCTCCAAAGGTTCAGTATTATCATACTGACTGCAATGGTAAATCCTTATATCACACTAAGCACACATGCTAAGCAGAGACTGCAAATCTCTCAGAAGAAAAATCAATTAAAGGTCAATAATTAGGGCATGTGAAGATTGAACAGCTGATAGAGTATGTAACAGTCTTAAATCAAGTTTAGTCATTTTGCGCCCGATATAATTTTGATTATACATGTGATCAGTACAGATGATACGAATAGTTGTTAGCTGTTAGCCATGTAAATGACTGGAGAACGTCAATTTGAAAGATGAACAAATATGAAGATATTTAAAAGATACAGAAAGATAAATGTAAATAATTACACACTGGTGGCATGGCTACCCTTGATTGTGCACAAGGCTCTGCACATATGACAGATATTTGAAAGTTGTTATCACAGGTAATTGTTAATAACAGGTAATAAGAATGAGTTTTGTGGAAGGAAAAGGAAGTGTCCTAGGACACTTTGATCAACAGAACTGACCCAGACTAGAGAATATTTAAGTTGCCATTTGTATACGTAAACATCAGTAAGAATAAAGCAAAGGTGAAGTGAACAGGTCATCCACAAACTACAAGCAACCATGATGCACAGAGGAACCACACAGAACCACAGCATCTGTGGCTGGAATGCAGAAAGTGAGCTGGAAGGGCGTAAGAGAGGGCAGTGAAGGATGTCTCAGGCAAGCAGGAGATTCCAAGCAGATACAGGATTTAGATTATAGCCCAAGAAAAATAGAAGCTATGTTATATACAATGGAGACATTCCATAGGCTGGGATCTTATTCAGCCAACAACACACAGCAAGTTCATTACAAACTGCTGTTAGCACTAGAGGTGCACAAGTTACAGCTCACAAAGGGTTGTAGGGCTTCACAAAGCCCATTCAGTGCTTCGCATCCTTCCTGTACCCTCAGGAGGTTCCTGGGTAATGACAGCATTTCAGTCCAAGCTTTTGCTACTTACTGATAACTGGCTAGAGAGTGGTAGGTGTGATACAAAGAACACGGGAAGTGGGAACAAGACAGCTGGGTTTTGGTGTTCCTGGTGTCCTCTCTTACTGTCTGAACTTTGGAAACCCTTTTGCTCTCTGGGTTCAAAGGCAGCTGGGATGAGGCACTAACCTGGATGATTTCTAAAGTTCCTTCTTTTAAATAGATAATTCCATAGCCCATAATCTTGTGTATATATCGCTTTATACATGAGGCAGGACAGCAAGAATCTTGTTGTGTTTCTATCTCCTTGCAGACAGTTCCTCACTTTAGAAAACAGTGTTAAAACAAAAAGAACATTATACTCAGAAGGAAAAGTTATAAATTTGAGTCTCTGGTCTGCTGAAACAAGCAGTGTGAATGTACATAAGTAACTTAGACTCTTCAAGCCTCAGTCTCCTCATCTATAAAATAAATAAACACACACACACGACACATGGATATGGGAAATGCTGCACTGATAGACGTCTTTCTTAATACATAAACACTACATGAACAGGCAAAAGATGTGGGTTGTGGTCTGGCCTATCCTTGCCCTAATTCAGAATCTCCTGTGTGCTAACCAGAGAGGAAAGTGACCTTTTAAGCACATATTTAAGGCTGCTAAGGAAAGTTCCTTGAGTATATGGTAAATGAAAGATAAGTTACAAGGAAATACTTCTTGTTTTAAGAAAAGGAGGAGTCTGAGCTCTCTGTACTTTGAGTTCTTGATGAAATTCTCTCTTGATAAACTAAGATTTAGAATCTAATGAAATGAGATAGTAATATTTTACACATATGAAATAATTTTATAGAGTGTTTAATATATATACAACATGGTAATATTCATTAACACATTTAACTATCCAGGATCAATTCCTTGCTTCACGTTTAACAGATATGAAAACTGAGTTTTGGGGAGATGAAATGGCACACCTAGGATCACATGGCTGTAAATGTTTTAGAACTTGACTGGGGTTTCTTGATCCCCAAACAGTTCTGTACTATATGCCACTAGCTTTAAAATGACCCACTCTCACTTTATTATCCTCTAACAATGTTATTGCTTGTGTCTAGATGCCTCCCCGAGCCTCATACACTCATAGGTGGGGCTTTTCAGAAATGGCTGTTTCTAGGGTGTGTGATGCAGGGATTAAATTGTGTGATGCTAGGAATAAATTATGTGATGCTGGGATTAAGGGTGCAGACTAAATTAGCCCATTGACTGGTTAAGTATAGTTCTGGGTGTGGGTAATGCAAAGGCCCATTCTGGGTGTGGATGGCTCAACCCAAAATATGGGCAGCGAGAAGGTATAGATAGGAGAGGCTTCTGCCTCACTTCTGCAGCTTTGCTGCAGCTTCTTTGCTACTTTGCTGCATTGCTGCCTTCTGCCTGCCATGAAATTTCTCTCCTCTGCTATGCCCCTCTGCTATGCTACGTTGCCTGGAAACCAGCCTATTATGAACTGACACTTCTACAAACTGTGAGCTACAATAAACTTTTCCTCCTGTACATTTGAGGGTCAGGTATTTTGTCTCAGCAGTGAGAAAAATAACTAAGACAACCAGTATCCCACTTGGAATATGAAACATTAATTAGCTGCTTTTCTCTCTACAAAAATCTTCCTACAGACAACTTTCATACTATGGCCCTATCAAAAAATTGTGTAATGAATACCATATATGAAATATTTCTGTATTTCCTATAAAACATTATAATGAATATGGCCCATTATCTGCTTCAAATTTATGAGGTCCATCAAGATGAAACTTATTTAAGATTCAACCCCCCCAAATGATAATAATTTCATCTTCTCCAATGAATGATATACTTCTCTGCATCAGAAAATAATTTAGTCCTGTTCCTAATTCATAGCTGATATTTTTCCTTTGATTCTGACGTCATTTTTCTGGGTTACTTGTTTCTTTCCATTCCCTAGCCCCTGCCTCACTTTCAGTATTTTGAGACATCTGAATCCCAGTCAGTTCTCAAAATCTCTCCTGACCACCCCATATAGAGGCCTTTCTTGTAAACTACATAGTTTGTCACCTCCAGCCACATACTTTATTATCTATGGTCATAAATCACCACCCTTATCTAGCTTCAAAATCTAAACTGTCATAATTTGTTGAATATTTATTATGTGGCCAGCAACATCGCCAGAATTTTAACATGTTAACTCTTTTAAGAGGCTTTACCCCCCGGAATAACAGGGCTGCATCATATGCCACTGGAGTTTTGTTTCCTAGCAGAGTATACAACATACAGCAAATGGTCATAAATATCTGCTGATGCAAATGTTTATGTCAATACAGTGGCACCTTGGTTCACAAACTTAATTCTTTCTACAATTCTGGTTGGAAAGCAAATCAAATTTCCCTATAAGGTCAACATTAAACCTAACCATTGAATTTAATTTGGTTCATGATCAATTTGGTTTGTGATCAGAATCATGGAAAGAATTAAGTTCATGAACCAAGGTACTACTGTATTCTCTTCTGACTTAAAAAAAAAAAATCCAGGGGCTGGGGATTTAGCTCAGCGGCAAAGCGCCTGCCTGGCAAGCGCAACGTCGTGAGTTCGGTTCCCGGTACCAGAGAAAAACAAAAAAACAAAACAAAACAAAACAAATCCAGTTGCAGATTACTCTTAGAAACTATCTCACCCAGTTGCTTATTTCACAGATGAAGAAATTGAGACCCAGAGAATGAAGGTCACTTGTCCAAGGTTGTAAAACTAGTAAGACATCTGTTGACAAAATGAATAAATTTGAGGTGCCACCAACCAGGCTTTCTGACCAAAGAATGAAATGATAGAACTATAAACATCTCACTTTGTTCAGCATGTAAAGATCTCATTCATTACCTGGATAAATCCAGCACCTGTAGTTCTGGAAAACGGGAGAAGCTATGGCTGGCTAAGAACATCAGGGGATTAAAGCTCAGGTCCAGGTTCTTGGCTGAGGAGGGGATGCTGCTGGGGATTTTGTAGAGATTCCGCTCCATGCACTCATATGTAATGTTGGGAACCACCTGCAAGGATCATATATTAGACATCACATCTGTGTGTGCTCCTACCCCTCCTCTCTTAAACCAGAGATGAGGGTGGTCATTCCTTCTGGAACATGTACATCACTCAGTCAACCTTCTTTCCTCCACCCACTTAGCCATTCATTCATTCATTTAGCCATTCACTCAATATGTACACAATGTCTTGCTGTACATAGGAACGGAAAAGCGCCTGTATCCATTCACTGTTCTAACCTCTGACTGCAACAGTGGTAACATTCAGTGAAAACCAATGCAAACAGGAGGTAACAGGCTCTGAAATTTGAAAGCCTTAAGCTTCATGCTACATTTTTTGTGTAATTTGGGGCAAAGTCTTAACAAGAAACTTTGGTGAACCCCATTTATCATGTGTAAAATACAGATAATAAAATATTTAGTATCATTCTAATCCCCCCCCCACTGTATACAGCCATAAGGCAACTACCGATCAAGATGTTCAAAGACTGATTTTGATAATTTAGCAGAGTGATGCAGAAATGAGGGGCCATCTTTGAAGTGTATGGACTCTAGTGGTGGAAAACAAATAAATAAGGTAAAGCACTCTATGCCAGGTTGGTTTGTGTTCTGGTTTCTTTCCTAATTTCCCGCACTCTCCGTAAGCCTTATTCTGTAAACTTCTATCGAATATCAGAATTCTCCGTTTTCTTTCCACAAAATTCCTTGACTAAGTCAGCTAGTTTTGGTTTTCTGTTGTTTAAAAGTAACAGAATCTCCTTCAAGAATTAAATGGGAAAAGGTAAAGCACTTATATCAAAGTTTACTCCAATGTAACTGATGAATAAATGTTCACATTAATTATTACTATTACTCCTTCACTCTAAGTCAGTGTATTTCTTTATGTTATATGCTTTAATTTAATCTGAAAAGCAACCTTTTAAAGATGAAGAAAATATAAATTCAGAGAGATGCAGTATTACACATGGGTACAAAAACTTATACACACAGTTCTTCACTTCATGGCCCTGTATGTTTAAATATTACCCATTATAGGAGCCTTGAAGCCACTACTGTCTAACAGAGAACCTTGCTAGGCACTATTCTCTTTCCATCTTTTATTTTCCTTCACAGTTATATCATCAGTCAACATTACACTGCCTATGTGCTTGTTTCTTTATTGTTGTTTGTTTTTTTTTTTTTTTTTGGTTTTGGTTTTTCTCCGGTACCGGGAACCGAACTCACAACCTTGCGCTTGCCAGGCAAGCGCTTTGCCGCTGAGCTAGATCCCCAGCCCCTGCTTTGATTGTTTCTTAAATATTGTTCATTTTCTGGAGTAGAGTGCAAGCTTTGATGGTTTACTGCTGCTTCATCTCTGTATTCAGAATGGTGCCTGGAAAATGGTCATTTATCAATAATCACTTGTTGGAAAATAAATGAAAAACATTGAGTACTTGATTTTCCAGAGATCTGCTTAAGCCCAAGTGGTATGCACTTTTTGCTAAGCAATCTGGGCAATAATACAAAGACAACCCTGATATGGTTCCCAACTTCAGTGAGTTCAGCGTCTATCTGGCTAATATAGAAACAGAATAATCACTATCTAAAACATCCATAAATCAGGTTTGGAAAATATGTTCTGCAGCTTAGAGAAAGTAGAGATTAATTGTGGATTCAGACAAGATTCACTAAAATGGGTTTTCAAAGATAAGTAAGATTCATATACATAAAAAAGGGGAAAAAATGGTATTGCATAAAAGAGAACTGGGTAACAAGGAAAGGATGGGAAACTAACTCAGATTCCCTCAAGGGGAATTTTAAACAAAAACGGTGGTTGTAGAGAACTCTGTGGGGCAATTGAGGGAGACAGCTCTGAAGAAAAGACTTGTTAGCAAGGTCTAAATGAAGTAAGTCATTCAGTCACTAAGATGACAAGACTGTACCCTCCAGTATGGCAACCATGAGCCACAGACATCTACTGAGCACAAGGAACATGGCCATTATCATTACAGAAGCGCAGTAAAAGTGAAATATATACGTGTGTAAGAATGTATAATAAGAGAAAATATCTTCTTAATAATATATATTATATATAGTATCATATATACTGTACACATACATATACAGTAATACCTAATTCATGAATACTTCTGTTTGCAAACCATTTGGTTCTCACACAAAAACATTCTGCAAAATTTTGCTCTCATTCCCAAACTCCATACTGGAGGACAAACACAACCACAGCCGTCTTCCCCACACAAACACAAACATACCCATCTTCCCCTACACTGGAAAACAAATTAAGTTCTTAAACCAAAACAGCACTTGTTTCTTTTTACTTTTTCAATATGGCTACTAGAAACTGTAAAACTGCACAGTGGCTCACATGATATCACAGCTGGACAGCACTAATTTAGGAGAAAAGGACAGATGGACTCTGAGCACAGGAAACAGTGCAAAGGCCCTATGGTAGGAAACTACCCTAATAGGTATGGAGAGTTATTAAAAGTGTTTCAGGAGAGTAATTTGTTATATCCAAGCATCTGGAAAGACAACATTTAAACAACAAACAGAAGTGCGCAGACTGGGATTGTCATGGGTAAATTAAATCAGGAGATAAGTCACTCCTCAGGAATCCAGGCCAAGGGAGCTGAGGCCTTACCGAAGGCAGCCCTGGGGGATGGGCAGGGACCGAAGGCTTTGGGAAAGCCAGAATAGGGTATGCAGAGAAACTGAAGTCAGGGATCCTGGGTTTTTATCCCCATTCAAGGTTCTATCCTTATTAACATAAGAGTAGAAGGGACACAGACAGGAAGACAAGGGCTCTGGGCAGGAAATTGGGAGAGGGTAGTGCTTTGAGATAACAAATAAGTCTTTGTTACCTATTACAGTACACTATTTCCTCCCAGGTCCTCAGCTTTACTTTCCTTGAGTTTCTGGCCCTGTTTCATGCTGAATCATTTTTTTGGTTATTCACTTCTCCCACGGAGTACGTGCAGTAGTAAAATGAGAGAGATTAATCATGAGTGACATTACTTGCCAACTGGTTGCTGTTTCACAAAGAAGGCAACAATTGTAAGAGCTGACCTCCTTCTGTACCCTTCACCCATTTATTTTTTCTTTCTCTATTTCCTTCTCTAGTTCTTTGTCTCTCTCTTTTTTTTCCTGCTCTTGATTTTTTTCATCTTCTGGACTAAATTATGTGACCCTACATAGAAATCTGAAACTCACTTAGAAGTTGCTTTCTCTTGAGACCAAAAGAGCCAGGTGTAGTACATGCCTGTAATCCTAGCAGTCAGGAAAACTGAGGCAAGAAGACTGCAAATTCAAGCTCAACCTATTAAGACACTGTCTCCAAAAATAAAAAAGAAAGGGCCTGAGGATGTAGCTCAGGGCAAAAGGTCCTGGGTTCAGTCCCCAGTACTAAAAAGCAAAGAAAAACAAAACCACCTTCATCCCGAGATTGAAAGGCACCCAATGACTAAGCGGGGTGTATAAACCACAAGTACAAAGGCATCACACTGAAGCAGCCTTTCTAAATCTGTCTAGTGAATTCTTACTATAAGTATCTCATAAGTGTAAAAACCAGTCCCAAACAGGCTGAGTAAGCTCCTCACCGTCAATACAGACAAAACAATGAGTTCAAGCCAGTCTAACTAATCTAAAGCCCCTCCTAGCATTCAAAAGTCCTAAGCAGGACAAAACACCATTGGCTGCCTGCTAATGCCCCGTTAACAATGAGCTATGTGGCTTCTCAAGTCTTGGTCATTTAACTCCTTCTTGTAAAAGAAACTATCCAGAGCACACTAGCAAGTTCTGGGCAGGGAGCAGTTTTCAGATGCAAAGGGAAGCTCCCAGGAGATGAGCCCCCCGGACCACGTACCTCCACGCAGGGCTCCCAGCCTTCAGGTCTCACGCAGGCGAGGAAAGCCATGGCTGGGATCAGAGTCCCAGCCAGGCGCCACGGAGGCGTCATCCTGGCATTTTCTGTGAGCAGCAGTGGTCGTGGGAAAGCATGCCTGCCTGCCTGCCTCTGTAAAACACCTGAGAGAGCAGAGTCCTGCGGCTCTGGGCCCTTCCCTCCTGTGAGTGCCCCAAGGCAGCTACTGAATTCAAAGCAGCTGGGGGAGAGGGCTAAGAGGAAGCGAAAGTGCCAACCTTAGCTTCCTGGAGTTTCGTTTTTCTACTACTTGTCCCCTGCCGCAGGAGGGGAAGTTCGAAGAAGTAAACCTCTTACTGACCAGTAGTGGCTGGAGCAGCAAGAAGAGGAAGTTGGCATTCATCCCAGGAAGTCATCTGACCTCGCTTTGGTGAATTTAGGAAAATTATCAGACCTCTTTTAAAAAGCTGGCTTAACTACCTGGAACTGCAGTGGGTTTCAAATTTTGTTTCAGTGGTGGAAATTACTGTTTGTACTGCTTAACTAAGGCCGCCAAGGAACTATAGAAAACACCCCAGGCTGGGTGATTTAAATGATAGAAGTCAGGAGGCGTGTCTGTGTTCCAGTCTCTCTCCCTCTCCCTGTTTCTGTTCCTCTCACTTCCTCTCCCGCTCCTACTTCTTCTGCTCCTTTCCCCTGCCCCGCCTCCTCCTGTTTGTTTGTTTCCCAGGACCTTAACACTGAGCTACACAACTAGACTATTCTTTATTTTTATTTTACTCTATTTTTTTTATTTTGAGACAGGTTCTCTCTAACTTGCTCAGATTGAGTTTGAAATTGTAATCCTTCTGTCTCAGCCACCTAGAGTGCTGGGAGTACAGGCATGTACCAGGCTGGGCTAGGCCCTTTTTAAGAAGAGAAGATTTAGATACCCATAATCCAAGCACTCTGAGACGCTCAAGCAGGACAATGAAAAGTTCAAACCCAGTCTGGGTAACTTAGTGGTTTAGTGAGATGCAGTCTCAAAATTTAAAAAAAATAAAATAAAAATAAAAATAAAGTGGTGAAGGCCTGGTCAAAAGTTAAATACATACGTAAATAAAAGGTCACTAGCCATATTATGTTAGGATCTACCCATATAGCTTCATTTGACCTAAGTCTCTCTGTCAAAGGCCCAATCTCCAAATATAGTCATCATGTGAAGTACTGGGGTTTAGGACTTCAATGCACCAGTTTTTAAGAAAGGTATACAATACAATTCACTATGAAACTGATTAAAAATAAAGCGCAACACAACTAGAAAAGGATATAAATATAGAGACATGTTTGGGATTCAAAACCAAATACTAAAGTTCAACTCCAGGCTGGAGGGACTCAAGATACTTAAATTACTAAGCCTTAATTTCTGACCTGTAAAACTGGAAACAGTTTTTAATTGTAGTAGAAACTCATATTCATATAATTTATAAAATAAAGCCAGGCAATGGTAGTCAAATTACACAAACTATCAAGCCTTCATTTTCTGGTCTTTGAAATGAAGATAATTATATTTTCCTTGTGTGATTGAATTAAGATAATTTACAGAAATGTCTAGTGTGGTGTATAGCTTATCATTACATTTCATAAACGGTAGCTATCATGATTCTATTAAGTATGTGGTTGTAGTCGAGTGATAATATTGTTGTAGGACTAACTGAGCTAGCTTTTGTAAAGTTTTAGGACAGTATCTGGAAAGAAACCAGAGCAATATGTTTCTGTTACATAAAAACAGTTGAAAGTAGGATATTATTTTTGTAGTGTGCTCCATAGTTTCACCAATATGTAATATCCAGCTGGCATCTCAAATCCAGCAAGTAGGAGCCCAGATGACAGGGCATCATGTCATAAAACACTGAGTGCAGCTCCTTGCAGATTTCTTCAACCCACCAGCACAATGGAGCTAACTATAGAGCCCCTAAGGGAACCTTTGCTTGAGGACGAATGGAGGCTACTCCTGTGAAGATCTTAGAACGCAGCCTGGCACAGAGGAAGTGCTCAGTAAAGTTGGAGCTCTCTGGGAACTTAATGGTATTTCACTCTCTTACAGACATCCAAGACGGAATTCTCTGTGAGTTTACCTCTCTGATTTTCTCATTTCTCACGTTACACATCTATTAACTCTATTTTCTATATAAGTTGCTTCTGTACCTACAGTTGGGCTGTATCATCATAAAGCCATCATTAGTTGAAAATACTGTAAATCAAAAAATGCATGTAATACACCTAACCTACCAAATATCATAGGTCAGCAACATAGTAGAATGTCAAGCAGAGGTTGTATACCCTCACGATTGTATGGCTGAGTAGGAGCTGCATGCAGCTTGCTGCTGCTGTCCAGCCTTGCAAGAGAGAATAAGGGGTGAGCAAAACCTCTGGTGAGTGTTTAAATTTAAAGACAAATGATTACAGTGAAAGACTCATTGCCATTAATGCTCCTCAAAATACTCTCCCTTGCTTTGAACACAAGTATTCCATTGTTCTGGCCACTTCCTGAAGCAGTGTTGGAAATTCTCTTTTATGTCTTTACAAAGTGTTATAAAAAATCCAACAGGAAAGCAAACTTGTAAAAACATTATGGGGTGTTCTAAAAGCACCTTATTCACTGTGTAACTTCTGCCTTTGGAAGGGAAGCATTTTTGAATAGATTCACAGCATCTAGGCAGCCATAATGGTGCAATTAAAGACATTCCAAAAAAGGACTTCTAGAACTGCTTCAGAAAGTGAGAAGAATGGGACAAGGGTACTTGAAGTAAAGGAGGGCATTTTGAAGGGGATGAGCAGCAGTGTGTTTATTACTGTAATATATTTTTAAAAATTTAAACACACAACTTTTTTTTAAATCAGATGACAACCTACCCCACTGCATATAGCTAACCTGGGAGAAGATTAAAATTAACAGTCCCATCCGTGTTCTCCCTGATGGGAAGAGACTGGCCCTCCCAGGACAGTTAGCTCTTGGAGATACGACTCACCCTGGACCACACCTTCAGTGTGCAGATTTACTAACCCAAGCTGGCTCAGAAATACCTCTTCTGTCTGGCTCATAAATACACTCAAAGAAATGGCTTGGGCTTGTGATTTCCCCCTTGTTCCTTCTACCATCTGACTTACCATGGTGTTTCCCCAGATGGCCACCTGCAGGATGTGACATGCCCCTGAGTCTTTAAAGCTCTGAGTAGCAATCTGTCTTTTCAGTGGCAATTTGTTTCCTGATCTGTGGGGCTCACCATACAGGAAAAGAAAGAAATTCTCTCAAGTCCTACAAATGGAAAATATAAAGTTATTCTAAAATGTCAGTCCACATTTCTATTGGAATTACCATGACATGTATGCCTTCGCTTAGAGTAGTGCAATAAATACACTGTCTAGATTTTACAGAGTTCAGACTCATATGTTCAAAGCTCTCAACTCTTCTAATGTGTCTCTAATTCTGCAGTCAAAGCCATCTTTCTTTTTTGTTTGTTTTTGTTTTTCTTCCGGTACCAGGAATCGAACTCACAACCTTACACTTGCCAAACAGGCGCTTGGCCACTGAGCTAAATCTCCAGCCCCAAAGCCATCTTTCTAAATGACAAATAGAAGTACCTCATGCCATGTTGGTATTGTCCTAAGGCTGTCTATGGCCTGGAACTCAAGGCTCTTTGACTATTCTCCCATGCAGCCACACACACCCTAAGAAGGAAAATAAAAGGCATGGGTATTATTCCAGGCAAGATGTAATTAGATCCCCTCACTAGAACACCGTGCATAAATGAAGAGAGTAATATAAGTATATAACACACATATTCTCTTGCTTTTTCCGTCATTGTAAAGGAAACTCTTTGGTAGTTAAAATGAAACCTAAGCCTAAAAGAACAGTCCAAGAAGATACTATAGGCTCTACTTCATAAAATATCAATGCATGCATTTTATAGAGGTCTTCTTAGTGAACTTTCCTATCTATGACTCATGGTGCTTGTTGAGATGTTTCATTTTTATGGAAAAACTAATGGGATTAATACATTATCGTACACTGAGCTTTTTCAAAGGTATCTCAGCTCTGTGTGCATATTCCAGAGCACAGACATGTCAAATATAAAAAAAGAAACAGTATTCCCTTTAGTTATCAAGTCTTATTTGATTACTTTGATGGACTTATCATTGCAGTGTCACGAGAAGGTCAGTATGTCATCATCATGAGCCTGTAATTTCCACTACAATAAAATAATCACTACACCTGTAGCACAGAAGCAGGGGGAGCCACTTGGTTCTCCGCACCCTTCAAGTCGAACAAATTCAGCTCAGGATCCATAATCACTCAGTCAATGAAAAAAATCTCCTCTTTGCCAGAGACTTGGAAGAAGTATCTGACACTTTTTGAACATATTGTATATTTAATAAGACATGAAAATAGGACACAACTGGCCAGTTAAATTAAGCTAATTATGATACCTACCTCCAAATTTCAGTGACATAGGACGATAAAAGTTTGTTTCTTTCTCATCAAATGCTCTCTGAAGATAACTGTGATTGGAAATAGGGTGGGAATGATTTGGGGATCCACCACCCTTCTCTGTCATGATGCTGCCCTTTCCAATATGCAGCCTCTAAGTTTGCCGCAGGTGGGAAAACAGCAGAGGAGCCACCAGATACTCAAGTATTTGTGCTGCATAGTCTCTGTCATGCATTATCTCCTTTATCATTTCACTGAGCAGAACTAGTCCCAAGACCACATCTCCATCTGTTTCCATCTCTGTCTTTTGCACACCAACACACATACACACACACACAATCACTGCTGGGCCCTACTTCTCATCAGTAATGCTATACTATAGAAGGAAACCCTAAAACTTTATCAGTGAGCTATCTATACCACAATCTCATAACTTTTATTTTCCAGTTCAGAGTGTTAACAGCAAATCATAAGAATGAGCAATCAAAGCTTAGTCTGGGTCACAGAAGGAAGGCCTCCTTTCCTTAACATATCTCAGGCCTGAATCTGGTTCCATCCAACTAGCTAATATTTCCAACCTTCACATTTTTTCACATTTTAACACCCCTCCAATCAGGATGTGTTTCATACTTGACAATGCACTATAGTTATAACTGGCAGGTTTTAAAATTTTTAGTGGCAGATAAACCATCACCTTCTGATCAATGGCCTATTATAATCAATGAAAAATAGTTTTTCTAAGAGGGAAAACTAGGCTCTGTTTAAGTAAAGGAAATAAACCATTAAACAGAGAAAAAGAGATCTGTTTCCTCAGGATGCTTTAGAATATTTATGATTCTAATGTATATTTTCTATCTACTTCAGTAGATAGAATACTTCATGTTTCCCAATATTTTGTCCCATGGAATTCTTTTTTAACCTTGGACACCCATTTCCAAGCCAATATCCATTTATGTGCTGTGATCCAACACTTCTGTGATATGTAAGTCCTTATATTCACAATCTGT